TCCACTAAACCTCCAGTCCCTGTGGTGAAAGCCAAAGCCTCGTCTCTCATGAACTCCCTCATTATCAGTAAGAATGTTATGATAACACTGCCTCATGTATTAGATTTCACAGTGTTAACTGGTGTAAAACAGTGGCCTTAATGGGACCTGTTATGTTGCGTTACAGAGCAGACCCAGGAGAGCATGCATAAGTTCGAGAAGCAAGCAGGACTGACTGATACAGTCTACACTCCACACAAAGGCCTGAATGCAGAGGAGACCCGCTACCATCGTCTGGCAGAGTCAATGCATGTAGGCAGAGATCCTCAGTTCAACAGGCTCAAATGTCAAAGCATAGATTGTGATCTGATATCTCCAAACAAGTATTTTTTTAAAGCATAAATTATATGTTTTGGATGTTGTAGAAGCTTCAAATGCAAAGCGTAGAAGCCATAGAAGAGAAACAGCCATCATCTGGTCATTCGACACCTGCTGGGACCCCTCAGTCCTCACCAAAGCAAAGACGCAGGTGCTGAATGAGTCAACAGCTTCACATCCTTTCTTTTGCATTAATAATTTTTTGTACTGAAAAATGAGATTGTAATTTTGTGTGTGTTTGGCAGGGAATGGTTCAGCAGTCAGGGCTCCACTGCTTCTCTGACAGGCTCTGAGATGAGCACCAGTTCCAGCTCCAGTATAGATCTGGCTTCAGGTTATGGACCTGTAGAGCGCTGGGGTGCTTTTGGACCACGTCCTCAAGTTAGCAAGTCCACAACTGACCCAGGTACAGATCCAGCCATAACAGGTAAACCAAACGGTGCACTTTACATGTAGACAGTCCTTTCTTCATATTCTCTTTAAATTTGAAAATGAACCTAATGACCCCCAGGTGTGTTAAATAAACCTTTCCAACAGTTAATGTAACACTCAATTGAATGTAACACTCATATCATATCATTGTCCTTCTCTGTGCGATACAAGAATCAATACGCTGGTGCCAAATATCGATATTTTAATTAATAAAAGAAGGCACTCTAAATAGATTTCCCTGCTGGCAGCGTCGCTACTTCATGGCTGGAAATGTCAACATAAGTTAACTAGCCTAAGATAAAGAGGGCACACTAAAAAGGATGTCAAACAACGCCTGATTTCTGGACTAAGTTATCTTTCGCGTCTGATCGTGCTAATATTGTCAAAACACACAAGGTTTACATATAAACACAGTTGGTAATGTCTAAAGTGAAAGTAAACAGTTGAGAGAAGAAAGGAACCGTGCCTGTACACAGTATATGAGATGCGTGCAGCTCTTAAAGCGACAGACTAATAGTAGTAAACATGCTGCCGCTTGTCATTAAAGGGATAGTTCAACCAAAAATTTTAATTTTGTCATTATTTACTCACTCTCATGTTGTCCCAAACCTGTATTCAT